AGATGAACTTTAGCCATCTTTGTGTCGGGGGGCTCGCGGCCGCTTTCGGAGATGTGTGTGTCTTCTGTGTGAAAGACTTTCATTGAGAAAAAAAAAGAAAACAGAGAGAGAGAGGGAGAGAAAAAATGTGCGTGGGTGTTGACTTGTGTATAGGCTATGCATAGATTTTTCCTTGTCTGACACTTTAATTTTCCACATGGAGCAGAGTGCCTTGTCGCTGCCTGCTTTTTGTCTGTGTTTGAACTCTGTACCCCATCAGCACTACTGAAAACAAAGTGTTTGCTTTGCCAGCTTTTTCACAATGAAAAGTCCACTTTTTTTACGAGAGAGCAGCTTTTCGGCAAATCCAAAATAAACAGATGTCACATCATATAATAATGTAACCAGGCAAAGGAAGAAAAGTCACAATCATAGTCATTTCAAATCCCTGACACTTGAAACTGTTTACATTTATAATGTCGAGATAAACATATATTTTTTTGTCATTTTTTTGGGTTGCTGTATCAAGTTAAAAAAAAAACGGTCCTCCCTTTGGTTTTCCCCTGTGGATTTTTCTACTCATCACCTGGCAACTGTTACCACAGATATAAGTGCTGAGTTTGTGACAAACACCCTGCTATTCCTCGTTTATAACATTAATTTATCTAATGATTTTTTACTGTGATTAATTCAAAACAGGCTTGGTGCGTCTCTTATGTTTGAAGTGATTGTTGTACCATTTTATTTTAAATAAATTCCAAATGTTTCTTACACAAATGTGCTCATGAAACACATGCCTGTACATGCTGTAAATAGTAAGAGACAAAGCTGGTAAAATGTGGTTTCCGAGGAGCACTTTTGATTTGCCTATTCAAATGAGGAATTGGTTAATATGACTGTCAGAAGTATATGGGAAGGAATGGGGGGGGACCTATAAACAACAGATCAAATGCGGGTATTGTTCCCCGCAGACAGAGGGTTGGCTCCATGTGGGGTGACTGTGCAGACTGCGAGTGCAGCATCTGTGCCGAGCAGCCAAATCTGGAACCAAAACCTCCACGGTTTTAATGACGCTGCACCCTTGACAAGATCTTACCAAATGTAATTGCTGCTAAGCCCAGCCCTGCAGGCCGGTGGTAACGGGGGTGGAGGTGGGGGATTGGAGGGTGGAGGTGGAGGGGGGGGGCGACAGGCAGCCCTTGGCAAGCTGCCTGGCAAAGATGGTGATTTTCCATAAGCCGCCAACAACAGAGTCTGGATGTCTGAACCCCAGCCATCCAAGATAGACGCTTCCCTGGTCCCAGAAATGCAGAATAGAGAGAAAGTCCAAGTACACAGTTCAACTATAGTAAATCACGGTGTCACAAGTTCACACACACACACACACACGTACACACACCCTTTCGCACCCTCCCCTCACCTCCTCGGAGACCCTTTGTTAATGCTGTGGTGATATTTTCATGCTGCACGGGCCAAAAGAAAAACTACGGCACCTAATGTAAACAATGCACATGTCATGATGTCAGGAAATGAATGGGATTCACAGGCACTGATTGGTTCTGCAGGGTTCTGTCCACGCTGCAGCACTGTCAGGTGTCCCCGGTCCAGACACGGTCCTCAGCGGTTCAGCTGTAAACCGACCATACACATTCCTTCCCTCCCTGTCTCCCACCAGCTGAGCAACACACACACACACACGCACACGCGCACGCACACATACACACACGTGTGCACACATTGGGACTGGCCAGAATTAAAACTACAGGCTAGTCCAAGGAGAAACCTTCGTGATTGGACGTCAGTGGAGGCAGAAATTCAAATTGTAAGCCAATCAGATTCAGTGTCCCTTCGCTCCCCCCACCACCACCTTATTAGGCGACCTCCCATGTCTCTCAAATTTCCTGTCTGCTTGGTTGCACCCCGCAAAGAATGTCATCAGCACTGTACTGGTTTTGTTGACCATATTAGGTATGATCAAGTATTCCCAGCCCCCCTCCTGAGTCTCTTTCTTTTAATTAATATGATGCTTTAGAAACTGAGGCCTTACTTTTTGGAAGAAAACATGTTGGGTTTTTTTGTCTGTTCATGAGTCATAACAGTTTTTCTCTTTTGTTTCTTTGTCAGCTGATTTGATGTTGTTTTAGATGAGAAAAATATGCTTTCAGTGAGAAAAGATAACTTCACATACAACAAACATTCATTAAAGATATTTAAAATAATTTCAAAGACCACTAACTGAGAGTTTCACCCTAAAATGCAAAAGATGCACATGAATGTACATGAAACACATGAAAAACATCAAAATATCATGAAAACATAACTGATTTGGTTCAGAAAAAACATAAACAATTTTATAAATGTCTTATGGTGAGTTTTTCCTGTAATACCAACATCATTATGTGTTCATATCAGCTCTCTTTTTTGTAAATGGAAGATATTTTCTAGAATCAATACACCTTTTTCTCCAGAATTTTAATTGCAATAATTAATTTATTACGTTGAGGTTCTAACATAATTGCTATTCTGTTCACAAATATAAAATTAGTTTAATCTGAAAGGCAGAAAAAGATGCTGTGAACACAAAACATTACATAATTTCATATTACTAATGCAATCTCAAATATAAACATTTGTTACAGCTGACACAGATTTAAATTTAAGCTAAATTATGAGCATAATTCTATGTAAGGATAAATTAAACATACATTTAAAGCTTTAATCTACAAATACTTATTTAGATACCAAAAAAACAGCGGCCCCCAATAAAGAGTTGTGTAAAACAAACATTTCATCCAATATAACATAAATAAAATTACTGAAAATATTGATTGTGAATTTGATAGAATGAAAAAAATGCAGTATTACAACAGTAAATGAATTAACTTTGCAAAGAAAGAATAATCTTAATGTTTTACATGAAAGAAGTGCAACAACTTCAAGATAAGTTCCCACAATAGAAATAATTGTAACAACGAATGGAAGCAGTTTTTGGCTGTAAAATCTATATTCTCTGCTGCCAGCAGATCAAATTGTTCCTATATTAAGGCCTGCAAAATAAAAAAATCTTGCACCGAATATTCTGAAAATGCCCTGTCCTTGATATATTACAGTTATTGTTTTAAGAGTTTCAATTTCCACCCAGAATCAGACAATTTCTGTGCAAAAAAACAATTCATTTTAATTCAACAATGGCAAATCTGGCATGAGATAGAAGTAATCTTTTTTATAAATTACCTAGATACTGAAAATGTCATCCAGAAATACAAAAAGGTCCTGGATCAGGGGTTTCCTCTGCGTTCCCTCAATGTTCCCAGAATTAGTTTAGGAAAGAATCCAAACAGATTAAGGCTCCTCTTCCCAGAAAAGGTATATTGGGGAAAAATCTGTGTCATTGCTGTGAAAAGAGGCTTTTGTGGAGCTGTCAGGAGGGTTAGGGCAAGAGCAGCAGAAAAAGCAAGAATTTGTGAGTCACTGGAATGACCAAAGTCTGTTCACACATTCCCAGTGACAACTGAGTTAATAACTTGTACGAGATGTTAGATACAGGCATGCTAAAACCAGTTTATCACTTTCCCAGAATGTAGAAGTGTTTAGGGACGAGCCAAATTCTTTGAGAATATGTGGCAGGTGAATCAGTGCGTTTCGGCTGTGATAGATATTTATATTGACAGGATGGTTGTGAATTTACTTGATTTAATTGTGAAACCTACTTTTTTTTTTAAAGCCAAACATTAAAAAAAAATAAATTTTCCCTCTAAAAAGTTGTTGATTGTCACATAAATAAATCGTTTTTTTTTTGTTAGAAAAACTCAAACAGGCAACTTTATCCCACCTAGAGTTCCTCCTCGCTTATGGCTTTCACATTTATTATGGTAAATGTGGATAAATTCAAATTAAAACAGTGCAAAAATTATAAAACATGCATGTTTAGATATCAAGTTTTAAAGATTTTAATCATTTGAAATGAAACAACTAAACTTAGGAGTGTTTAGGAACAAAAATTCTAAGATTTAGCAAGTGAAAATCACTGACGGTCGTTAGGGTTAGGGTCTTAAAAATATATATATTTTTAAGTTTGAAGCAGTTTGTTATGCTGCACATCTAATTTCTGAGCATCTAATGATTTAGTTTGTTGGCTGTTATCTTGCTCAATAATTGTGTTTTGTAGAGGGCACATTTACAGGATGGAGAAAATCCTCCAGCTACTGCGCCTTTGCACTTATTTAAAAAACAAGCAGAGATTAAAATAAAACAGATTATTCAGTAATATTTCGTTTCATTTGGACCCCAGCATGTTTTTAAATATAAAATGGAAAGTTTTAATGTCAGTAAACGGACAATATAAATAAGTTGAAACATTAACAGTCAGAGATGATGGAGAGATCCAAAAGGCAGATCTTTGATTATACAGTGTTATCTCAAATTAAAATCTTACCCTAAATAATTTGTTTGTGTCAATGTGCTGTTTGAATGGGTTTCCACATTTAAAAGAAAAAAAAACAATTCAAAAACAACATTCCAGCCGGATACACACATGTATTTCACACACCTCTGTGATATTCCTTCGTCCACAGGAAAGCTTAGAAAAACACTCACTCTTTGCTCTTTTTTGCCCGTAATAAATGTTTCAGTGGCCAAATTCATTATTTAAATCCAAACAAATTTACTTATAAATCTGAAATTTACCAAAATTTAATTGTGAATAAATTATCATATAAATTGTGAATCAGTAATAATTATTTAAAACTGTTCAGATCTGTCAGACACAATCCTGTTTTTATAAAGACAGTGTTATATGTGTTTGATGACAACTTAACAACAATAATTAGAGGAATAAATTATTTTGCAATTTCCTGTTTAGGGAAAATCTGTGCAGCAGGGAGATGAGATATGTCCTGTGAATAAAGCGATGGCTGTATCTTGTTGTATACAGCGTACTGTGTGGTCACTATCAGCTAAACATCAGCAGGTGTCTATAAAAAATTAAATCACACATTTTCCCCTCTTCTGCTCTTTTGCAGGACTTTGCCACCCGGGCAAAAGTAGCCGTGCAGAAACTCATCCACAGGGTCGGATTCTTTGGGATTTTAGCCTGCGCTTCTGTAAGTCAAATCACACATTAAGTTTATTTGCTTCTGTAAAATATTCTTCAATCAATCCATCTTATTGTTATTTCACCATAAGTCTCTGTGCAAGGCAGAGTGAGAGAGCTTTTCTCTGGGATCAAGGTGCGACATAAATACATAACACTATACTCAGATTGTGAGCTTTAGCAGTTTAAATCATTTTGTCACATTAGTATCATGATCAGGGTCGGAAATTAGCACCAGCCATGTGCTGGGAAAATATGCAAGTGCCTGCTCAAGTTGCCAACAAAACAAACAAAAGACAAATATGGTAATCAATTGAGTGTCTGGCAGATTTTGGAATCCAACAGCCACAGTGGCAGGTGGACAAAGAGTTTATTTCCAACCCTGATATGGTGTGTAGATATTTGTGCATCATGCAAAGGAAAAAAACAGCTCTGAATTGTCAACATACGAACAAAAAATAGATTTTAGAAAATGTACATATGACAAATATCAGATATTCTGTGACCTTCTGTAAGTGTGCCTATGGGATACAAATTTAAATATTGTGCCACGTTGTTTCATGCACTTTCTCTGTATTATGTGATTTTTTTTTAAGGTGAGTTTACACAACATTAAGTCTAATCATTCGTATTGTTCCCCCCCAGATTCCAAATCCCTTGTTTGACCTGGCAGGAATAACATGCGGACATTTTTTGGTTCCCTTCTGGACTTTTTTTGGTGCAACACTCATTGGGAAAGCAGTCATCAAAATGCACATTCAGGTGAGCTGCATTTATTCACTTATTTGCTTTCTTTAAAAAGGACCATGTATAGTTTAAAACATAGATGTCACCATCAGATGCATCACACCACATTATAGTTTTGAGCTTATTTGCATTTGTTGTCCTGTGGCAGGTCAACAACAAACAATAGAGAGTAATGAAAACATACTAAGTTATAGAAAAAAAGAAAATTATACACAGCAGCACACAGTAGTGTGTCAAATAAAAGCCATTAAAGCCAAGCCAAAGTCATGAGAGCGTAATATAGAATTCAATGTCAGTGATTTTTTTCCCCCCAAAAAATTACAGTAATACAGTAAATACAGTAAACCTTAACAGCTCCGGATGTGTTTTACTTGTCTGGCATCTTTTCTAGAGAAACTAAAGTTATTCGAGCCAAAGTTTGAGCTCTGCATACATGTTTAATTCAGAGGAACAAGTGTGTTGAATTATGAATCACACTCATGCACAGCATCCCTGCACTGTATTCTGCTGAGCAAGGAGGCCATTTTGTGCAGCCAATGTAAGGGGAGTCAACCATTTTGTGATCGCAGCTGCAGCAGCACCCCCAGCACATTATACAGTAGGCTGGTCAGACGACAGCAGATTGAGGATTTATGGGAAAGTAAAAGATATATGCTAACCCCTTGAATAGGAAAGTGCTGTTAGGAGGACTTGGCATCACAGACGTTCCTTCTAATCCTGGAAAATCTTCAATTTGCGTCCAGGAATTTGCAGCATGTCTGTGATTACCGTCAGGGGCTCGACTTTCTGTTTTTTTAAGCAAACGTTGGAATTTGCTCACTGTGATTCAGAGAGGAAGGGTTAAAAGCTTTTCTTCCCTCACTAGGCCTCATTCCTTATCATACGCAGAAACTATTGTCCTGCACCAAACTGAGAAAAAAGGTGGTGGTGGTGGTGGTGGTGGTGGGGGTGAACCTAGTGAGCGCAAGCTAAAGCTGATAAACTTTTTTTTTTTCATGGAGAAAGAGAGATGGGGGGGGGGGGGGGGGGGGGGGGGGGGGGGGGGGGGGGGGGGGGGGGGGGTTGCATGCATGGTAGGCACAATTACACACACACAGTACCAGATTACACCCAGGGGTCCCAGGGGCCCACACTGACAGAGGTGTGTCCCTCCCTGTCTCACGGAAAGAAAGACTTCACCCGGCTCTACGGCATGTCTGGGGGGCCCCAATCTCTCCAGTAGCTGCTTGGTTCAATCTTCTTCAAGCTCTTCAAGTTTTCTGCTTCTAATGCAAATGATTCAGTAGTTTACAGCGTGTGAGCAGAAAACAAGAAGTGTTGGGCGAAGCAGAGCAGGTGACGTTCTCCCTCATGGGCCAAGAGGGAACAAAAGGGGATTTTGAGGCTTGTGGTGTGTGTGGGCGTAGAACTCTCAATGCTTCAAAGCGTGTTTTTGATCTGGGTTTGTACCTGTGTGCTTCAGGTGTGTTCTCACTAGTCTCCAAGGAAAGGCTTTTTTTTTTTGCTGTGTTGCTTCCGCCTTTTCATTAAGCTTCATGTTTGAATGTCCGCTGTTGAATGGTTAACGTCAGCGCCTTTGTGACGCAGCAGGTCACCTGAGCGTGATGGGTGATGTCATGTCAGGCCCTTGAGACAGGTGATTTTGCTGAGGACAGAAGAGGGTGAGGTGTGGCAGATGACTTATGGACTTGTATACTGCAGAAGTGAAATTAGAGAATTGTTTTTGTTACAGCCCGGGGTTCTCACAGGTGCTGGAAATTAGTGCTGCACAGTTAATTTAAATATTTTCAAAATCGCAGGAGCTGCAATGTTAAATTGTGCCTCAATATACCATTATAAATGAGGCATTGTGGTGCTGCAGAGATGCCCAGGCCAACAAATCATTTTCCAGAGGTAAGGGAACACGCTTGTTTGGTACAGACCCCAGCAAAAATTACATCATCGTCATTTTTAAACTAAAATGAAATGCAAAAATGACCATTCCCACTGAAATCATGACTCAAGTCGTGATATCTGTCAAATTAATCACTATTATTATTATTTATTTTGGCATACTGTGCAGCCCTACTTGAAATCCTAAAAGTTTGTGAATTTGAGGGTAAAAATCACAGCCTTGAAAGTTTCTGAAAACAGACGTACACAGACATGGGTCATTGAATGGGTGCTTGAATTTATAGATTTTGTGCACAGGGTTTGTACAAGGTTCTTGATCTGTTTGAATTTGGCACTCAGAATATTATTATTTACTGGACTGCCTTGAAAATCAGACATCTTTTTACTTGGTCCTTGGAAAAGTACTTGAATAAAATTGAGAGGAGAACAGAATGATAAATAATTGTATAACAACGTATTAAGGAAAATATTTTAAACTACAAAACCAAGAATAGTCATGATTGAAATTATTTTTTGATGTCCTATGCATGCTGTGAGCATCAAAAGTTTGGTAAACTCTGTGTCATGATGTTTTGCTAGCCTGCAAAATGTGCACATTAGAGTAGGGTCAGCTGTTAGCATGAATGGCAGTGTGTGTCTGACTGTGGATTGTGAAGCTGTTGAATGGATGTGTGGCGTTAGCTTGCTAGTTGCACTGGTGGCTGTTAGCAGCTAGCGCTCCTTGTTAGCCGCTGAGCCGCTGTTGATGCCCACAGGAATCCACCCAGATCTGGACTATCTACAGTGGGTGTATGGCTTGATGTAGGGCTGCACATTATTGGGAACATTATCAAAATTAAATTATGGCCAGATGCCATATCCAAATCACAGGAGGTGCAATTTTTTGATAAAGGTAGAATGTGTCCCAGCATACCATGACAAATGAAGCATTGTGGTGCTGCAGAGATGCCCTGCCCTATTCATATTCCAGACATAGGAGAGCATGCTTGTTTGGTAAAGACACAAATTACATTATCTTTTTTTTTTTTTTTTTTTTTTTTTTTTTTGCCCCACTAAAATCGCAACTTCTATCAAAATTGCAGTATCTGTCAAAATAATAACAGTCTGATGGTTTTTGCATATTGTGCAGCTCTAATTTGTTTGCTGTTTGACAGGCAGGTGAGAGGCTCAGTTGTCTGTGAGCGTAGCTGTGTTGTATATAAACAGTCTGACAGAGCTGAAACTTAGTTTTTTAAACCTCGAGACAAACTTGTTGCAGATTTAAAAAGAATTCAGGCTGTAGTTAAGTTTTTTTTATGCTTCTTAACTGTGAGATCGATAAGTCAGAGTTGTCTTGTTGTCTCAAATGAGTTATTTATGATCTCAAAATTTGAGCTTTTGAGCTTTTCAAATGATGATCAATAAGTGTGTCACTATTTCTAAATTACATTTTTTGCACACGTTGTATCAGCGGGGTGATTCACAAACACTGAGTGCTTTTGAGAACAAGTGATGCAGCGTTGAAACAAATAGTCGAGTCATCGATGTGCCGGTTCTGCGCTCCCTAGATTTTCCTGCTTTTCTGTCCTTTGCCAATCACATACCTGAATAAAAATAACCAGTTAATTAAAGTTAATTTCAGGCCCTGGTAGCATGTGTGTACAATTCTTTTGCAACAGATGGTTGTGGAGAAAACAATTTCAACCTGGGAAATAAGAATGAGTGCTTGAAAAGGTGCTTGAAAGTCTTTCAATTTGACCTGCCCCTCTCTGTACGAACCCTGGAAATTGGAGTTATTCAGATAGTTGTTTTACGTGGTGAAAAGGCTTTGTTTATCTGCTGTCTGTGAGTTTCTGTGCAGCCTGCTAGCTCTCATAAAAAGTCTCAGTGTTGCAACAGTAATTAACCTTGATCTGTGTCCTAAACTGTGCCATGTTTTGTCCTTGAATTTAAGGGAATTGGGCCTTTAAAGTTGTGAATTTGACTTTTAAGAAGGTGTGGGAACTCTGTACGCCCTTTGACTTTTTTAATCTGAGAGTTAACACGAAATTGAATGCAGGATGCTCTCACTTCCACATTACTGTCAATTCACTCAGTACACCTCATGGTTTTTGATGAGTGTTCCTTTTCTGTAAACTGTTGAGAACTGACGTAATGCTTCCCACTTGCTTTTGTTTGTGCGTGTGTGTGTATGTGTGTGTGAGAGAGACAAAATGGTTATGACTGGGATGTGAGCAGCTCTCATCAGCTTTATCAGTTAAGTGAAATCAGAGAGTCAAGACGATGTCACCGTCAGTTTCCGAGCAGACACATTTAAAGCATCTAAGTCAGCTTTCCTGTGTCGGCCATCTTGTTGTCCCTTCTTCCTTGCTTTGTGTGGGATGATAAATCACTCGTCAGTGCCTGTTGGAGAGATGTGGGTACACAAAATCAATACTAAAGCGCATGACTTCAAAACATCCTCCTGAGGCTGGGGTTAAAAAGTTGCCATGAGGGGGTACGTACTGCACCGTCTCATGTTTATTTTCTGAGGCACAGAAATGTCAGTGTCCTTTTTTTTTGTTGTTGCAGATGTCAGTTATAAGTTGTGTTATTTCTGTGACATGGCTATCATTATGACTTCAAGTCTGTCTAACCTTCAATGACGTTTTGAGGCTTTCACACCCACACAAATTAAAAGACAACTAAGTGACTAAACACATGCATGACCTGGATGGCATCATGTTAGGTAACCTCACAAAGGACACTGTCACAAAGCACTGATCAAAGACTGTTGTCACATGCAATTAAAATCTTTCCATGTGGATATGATGTTCTGAGTGTACTGATGTGGCTGTCACATTTGGTTTTGTTCAGTTATAGTGTCATTTATCTTACTGTATATTTCCTTGGTCTTTTTTTTAAATTGTCTTGGACGTTACTGGTGGTCCTCCCAGTGAGGCCAGTTTGCAGCATTTGTACTTTAAAACCTCGAATCAATATACTCAGTAGCCAGTTGAGGTCGTTTATTGAGAATGATCTGCATGTCAGGAAGTAGTGTGTCATTTCATTTGATCATTTAGCCTGTTGCAAAAGCATCATGGAAAATATTCTGCTTATGAAATGTAATAATGTCAACTAAATTGGTGAATTCCACCCACGGTGACTTGACCCCAGGGAATACTTCTGCGGGGGGTAAATGTAAATCTTGTGGTGTAGCTGATCTAACTTGAAAATTCAAAAAATTTAAATAGCAATTTGATTAGAAAATAAATAAATACATATGTATATCCTTATATTGAGTCATCTGTAACTCAGACACAATGTGTTGTGATTGAGAGTGTGTGAGAGGTAGTCAGCAAGTGAGCAGAGAAGTCGAAACAATCAGCTATAATAATGTGTAAATGCTTAAAAAGTAGCTAAAAATAATGAATATACTGGGGATGCACTGATTGTGAAACTGTGGGCCAGTATCAATGTTTAAATTAACAATATCCCACATAGCAAAGACCAATGTTTTCCCCTTTTTGTGCCAGGGACCCAAAGAAATCTTTATTGTAAAAAAAAATACTGAAATGTTTAAAAGTCATTCAGCCCCCTGACGCCTTGACAGTGAGTTTACTGCAGCCTTTTGTTCGGACGGCGAAGATTTCTGTTCGTCCCACATTTTATATATTGTGTCAGGGACACCGTTAGTCTCAAGCCCTGCTTTTTTGCCTGTAACACAACAGAAATTTATCACCCACTGCTATCGGTGACTGTTATTGCATATGCGGATCGGCCGAAGGCAATCAACAAGACAAATATTGGTCGATAACAATGTTTGGTCAATAAATCGGTGTATCCCTAGAATATGAAGTCCAATTAATTAGCTAACTAAAAGTAAATGGTTGAAATAGCTCCCACTGATTGTACAAATACAAACTTGACCAAACTAATCTAAACATTGACAGTTTAATTCCATGAAAAAATACAGTAAAAGAATACGTAAAAACATATGATATAAAATATATGCAAAATAATATCCAGTTAATTACAAATCCAAATGAACACATATGGAAGCTGACAGGTGGTGTTGATGAAGGGGTGCTTGAGTTCATATGATGCAGGGGTACGTCCTGAAGGAAAGGTTGGGAACCACTGAACTAAACAACATGAGACCTTTGAACACTCTTGGCCTCAGTTAGATCAGAAACTCTTACACAGTTTTCACATTAGACTCTATATTCTTCTAACTTCTAACACGTTATATTGAGTGAAATATCCAAATCCAGGATGACATTTTTATGCCTCCATCATTATATAAAATGGAAAATTCTAGTTGTCTCATGTATCATTTTATACACTTTTCCCTGTAATTCGCCAGTATATATTTAGCATCTTTGGAAACCTTGGGATCTCGACTAGAATTTAAAATAAGGTTCTGTGGGTTTGAACAATCCTTTTCTGCACAACACGAGTTTGTAATGATGGACCCGCCAAAAGCTCTGTTGGGTTAAGCCTTTCTAATGGCATGTTGAAGGCAACCGAGATGTTACTGGATCAAACCACATTTTTAGTGGTAAAAAAAACAAAACGCGTGTTTGTTTATAAGAATACAGTAACAACTCAAAGGGCACGTAAAGGACCTTGAAAAATCAGGTCAGTTATTGGGTGCATGTTCCTGCCACCCTGCAGGAAGACACAGGGCTAATATGAGCAAGAATGGCCTCTAGTTGCCCGTCTGTCCCTTCTGGCTCGATGACTAAGCAGGAATCAGACCGGACAGGAGCCAGCCTCCAGTCCAGACCCCCTCTAAAGCAATGACACATCTCCTTTGATTGTTGTACTCCTCTGTCCATCCATCCTTTAAACACACACACTCCTCTGATGACAGCCAGTGTGATATGCTGACCTACTGTTGCTCATGTGTCATAGAGCCTTGGCCTTTTATTTCTTGACCTCCATGACAAAAGGGCGTCTTCATGGCTGCTTTTAGACCAAACCGCCTTGGTGGTGCAAGGCATGGACTCAGGCATAAAGGGCAGTGTGTGCGTGTGTGTGTGTGTGTGTGTGTGTGTGTGGGTGTGTGTGTGTGTGTGTGTGTGTGTGAAGGGGAGTTAAGGAATTACTGATCAAACTATGATGCACATACTGCCTTGTTCTGCACCCCAGCAGTGACCTCATGGCTCAGTAACTGACTCGCTCTTTCTCTGTGTGTTTCTTTGTCATACAGAAACTGTTTGTGATCGTCACCTTCAGCAGGCACATAGTGGAGCAGATGGTCTCCCTCATCGGGTGAGTAAGCCTCAACGGGTGTGTGTGTGTACTTGTGTGCATTTGTTTGCTCACCAAAAGTACCCTGTGTGGGGTGTGCAGCTATCACACATGAAAGAGTTAATGCAGAACTTGACGGTTGAAGGCCCATTTAAGGTGGTCATGTGGCATTCAAGTAATCTATGTCCCTTTGTGTGAAATCTGTCTCCTCTTCCTCTGTGTGACTCTGATGAAGGTCATGCAAGGCAAGGCCGGTTTATTTTTGTTGCACATTTCATACGCGGAGGCAATTCAAAGTGCTTTACATCATGAAAGTCTAGCCTGTTTTTAAAAGTAGTCAAAGTTGGGGCTCATCTAAGATCTTCCGGAAGTTTATTCTTGCTCTGTGTGGCATAATAAGTGACTGTAGCTCCACCCTGTTTTGTTTTATTACTTCGCAAACTGGTCCCTGGTGACCTGAGAGGTCTAGATGGTTCATAGTGGGGATGTACTTTGCCTTAAACCATCACGTAGGGCTGCACGCTACTGGAAACACTGTTTTCTTCTGCTGTGATATATATTGCAATATGAAAAAATACACAAGTCTTTACTAGACGACTTGAGTTGCTCCATTTAGAGATATTTAATCATACTAGAGTTAGTGGTGTGACTTTATAGGGGATTGCATAGGAAATAATAGTAATAAAAGCAAAAGAATGTCTTTTCCTTGAGTGCGAACCATCTTATGAATTGATTTTAGATATGCTGGTTGACTCACCATGACACCATTGTGTTCATATAATATTAATTGACCAATCCAGACTAAAGTCAGTAGTCTCTAGTGTGTCATATTAATAATGCACGTTGCTTATCCTAGTTTATGAGGCACCCTCATGTTGCCTCCATCCTGTTCCTGCTAATTTTCAGGTTGTGGTTGACTGCTGGCGAAGCGTGCTTTGGTTGTTTATCAGAGACTTTTCTTGAAGATTAACACTAGTGTTACCTTGGAACTGTAGTTGGGAGGCTAACTCAGTTTAGCCTCGCTCATAGCTGGTAACTAGCTTTTACAGAGCGGCAAATCTGCGGTGAAGAATGGACAGAGACATCATGATGACGTTGCATCAAACAGATGCTTTATTTCTTCATTTTTACTATTTTTAGTTGTTATACTGGAACCTGAGCTTATCTTGATAATTGCGTGCTGAATACTGTAGCATCTGAAAGCATGCATTTCACTGTGTCTGCAGCATCTACCAGCCCGCTAATGGTACTTTTCTAGATTCTCAATTCCCACAACCAATGCCGCCAGACTACGTCAAATACATGTGCAGTATATCTATTAGATTAGAGGAGCAGATGCAGCAGTTTGATGGTTTGAAAGCAAACTTTTAGACCCAACACTGGATGTCAGGGTGTGCAGTTTTCATGGCAACACCGCTAGTTTCATCTGAAGTAGTTTGGAAAAATGATAGACAACACTAGAGGGCTATTGTTTTAAATTGTTTTAAGAAATAATGAAAATTAATGAACAGTTAAGTTAAACTTTCACTGTTCCTGGTGTTCTGCTGCGGTCTGTGCCCAAAGTGCACTCTGTGTGTGGTGCAATGAATAACTGAACAATATATACAGTACAGGCCAAAAGTTTGGACACACCTTCTCATTCAATGCGTTTTCTTTATTTTCATGACTATTTACATTGTAGATTCTCACTGAAGGCATCAAAACTATGAATGAACACATGTGGAGTTATGTACTTAACAAAAAAAGGTGAAATAACTGAAAACATGTTTTATATTCTAGTTTCTTCAAAATAGCCACCCTTTGCTCTGATTACTGCTTTGCACACTCTTGGCATTCTCTCCATGAGCTTCAAGAGGTAGTCACCTGAAATGGTTTTCCAACAGTCTTGACGGAGTTCCCAGAGGTGTTTAGCACTTGTTGGCCCCTTTGCCTTCACTCTGCGGTCCAGCTCACCCCAAACCATCTCGATTGGGTTCAGGTCCGGTGACTGTGGAGGCCAGGTCATCTGCCGCAGCACTCCATCACTCTCCTTCTTGGTCAAATAGCCCTTACACAGCCTGGAGGTGTGTTTGGGGTCATTGTCCTGTTGAAAAATAAATGATCGTCCAACTAAACGCAAACCGGATAGGATGGCATGTCGCTGCAGGATGCTGTGGTAGCCATGCTGGTTCAGTGTGCCTTCAATTTTGAATAAATCCCCAACAGTGTCACCAGCAAAACACCCCCACACCATCACACCTCCTCCTCCATGCTTCACAGTGGGAACCAGGCATGTGGAATCCATCCGTTCACCTTTTCTGCGTCTCACAAAGACACGGCAGTTGGAACCAAAGATCTCAAATTTGGACTCATCAGACCAAAGCACAGATTTCCACTGGTCTAATGTCCATTCCTTGTGTTTCTTGGCCCAAACAAATCTCTTCTGCTTGTTGCCTCTCCTTAGCAGTGGTTTCCTAGCAGCTATTTGACCATGAAGGCCTGATTCACGCAGTCTCCTCTTAACAGTTGTTCTAGAGATGGGTCTGCTGCTAGAACTCTGTGTGGCATTCATCTGGTCTCTGATCTGAGCTGCTGTTAACTTGCGATTTCTGAGGCTGGTGACTCGGATGAACTTATCCTCAGAAGCAGAGGTGACTCTTGGTCTTCCTTTCCTGGGTCGGTCCTCGTGTGTGCCAGTTTCATTGTAGCGCTTGATGGTTTTTGCGACTCCACTTGGGGACACATTTAAAGTTTTTGCAATTTTCCGGACTGACTGACCTTCATTTCTTAAAGTAATGATGGCCACTCGTTTTTCTTTAGTTAGCTGATTGGTTCTTGCCATAATATGAATTTTAACAGTTGTCCAATAGGGCTGTCGGCTGTGTATTAACCTGACTTCTGCACAACACAACTGATGGTCCCAACCCCATTGATAAAGCAAGAAATTCCACTAATTAACCCTGATAAGGCACACCTGTGAAGAGGAAACCATTTCAGGTGACTACCTCTTGAAGCTCATGGAGAGAATGCCAAGAGTGTGCAAAGCAGTAATCAGAGCAAAGGGTGGCTATTTTGAAGAAACTAGAATATAAAACATGTTTTCAGTTATTTCACCTTTTTTTGTTAAGTACATAACTCCACATGTGTTCATTCATAGTTTTGATGCCTTCAGTGAGAATCTACAATGTAAATAGTCATGAAAATAAAGAAAACGTATTGAATGAGAAGGTGTGTCCAAACTTTTGGCCTGTACTGTATATACATATGTACGCCAACGTCACTTTAAATTAATGGTCCCGCTCCAAAAGTAGAAAATCAAAAGTGGCAGCTAATGCTAATATGCTGGTAGGCCACCACAAATAAATGAATGTGTGGGAAACCTTGTGCATGTAACCTGTCGACTTGGCCGGTAACATTAGTCATTAGAAATAAAAACCATGTGAGTTTTCCTTTTGTATCAAGCAGGCAAGTTTGAGTTAATTTGCCTTACTCGACATCGCACGCCCTGCAATGCGACTATTGCATATGCACACAACCTGATATTGATGCTGAAATGATAAATCGTGCAGCCGTACCATCAAGTGATTTAAAGAAAAATTGAGAAGTAGTGTCACATGATTCCTTGATCGCCATTAGAGCTCTAGCAGCAGCATTCTGCATGAGCTGTAGCTGCCAAATGGTGGAGATAAACTGGATCCATTGATGTATGCTAAGTTGACAGATCCTGTTCGTTTCCTGTGGAGAATAGGAGATTCAGCTGTGCGTTGCATGATGGGTATCATGTAGCGAGTTGACTGATCATTTGCCATATCTGAATTTGTATTATCATGACTCAGCCTCAGCTTTATGCTGTGAAACTCTAAAACTAGGCAGTGCAGATCAAATATGGTTAATTACTTTGTTGGTGCTACTGTCTCAGAAACATATTTTAGTGTACTGTTTAGCTGTAATGCAAGAAAGTTTGTGACCTGGCTTCCATGTTAAATAGTTAAGCCAAAACCAAGCACCTCCCACCAGCTGGACTGTTTTGGTTCAGGGATGTCTTTCTATTTGTTTGCCAGATTTGATGTAACTGACAGGAAGCATGAATTTGTTTTTTCTAAATCTTGTTTGGACGTATTGTTCATTTTGAATGACACAGTGATTTTGGAAGATGTCTTATTGCTCTGTCCTGCCTAAAATATTGCAGACCTTGAAACAGAGGTTTTGTCACATTTTGTTCCCCTTTTGGCTCCTCACTCTGGTGTAATAGTCTACATGGTGATTAATGGCTTGGATTTTTCCACTGGATGACTATGGGCATGAACATGTTCCAGTTGATTCACAGGATGGGATGAACTCTTGTCTATCATGGAAACCTCCTCTTCTGCTTTATCTCTCATGATGCACTGTTGTCGTCCTTTTAACCAATCAGCTGGTAGCTACCTACCTGACCTCATAGGGAGCACAAGCCAAAAGACAAAGCAGGATCACGACTGCTGTCGCATTTTTGATAAAATAAGGCTCTTCAGGTGTCAGACATCTCAGACAGGATGTGCTAATGTTTATTTTTCTGGAGCTTCATGGCAGGAAAGAAGAAGTCTGAGTCACTGGTGAGAAAGATTTCACAAAGAGAATTTATTTGTGCCAGTATTTGTGTATACCAAGCTGTTTTTAACATGAAGCCATCAGACATAGGCTGGTTTTGTAGGTGTAAAACCATTAAAACCTTTGACATAACAGTGCAAACAAAATGTAAAAATCACACACACACACACACACACACACACACACACACACACACACAGAGCCTCTAGGCCTCTTGTAAAATAAGGGCTACTGTAGATTTAAGTGTAAAGAGGCTTGGTGCTAGGTGTGGGTGCTGATAGGTGCCATGATGGGTGTCCTTGTAGAGGTGCCAGGGGTTGCAGCTGGAAACTGCCCTCGACACACCTGCTGGTGGGAGTGCCGTTTATCACACACACACTCATACACTCATGCACGCTCTTGGGCTGTCTCACACACTTGCTGAAATCAGGCGATGAGATTGCATCAGCTTTCGT